ACAGTGGGGATGAGGTTTTGATGTTGGTGTGCTGTGCCTTTTTTTCTCCACACATAGTGTTGTGTGTTCTTCCCAAACAACTCAATCTTGGTTTCATCTGTCCACAGTATATTTTGCCAGTAGTGCTGTGGAACATCCAGGTGCTCTTTTGCAAACTTCAAACGTGCTGCAATATTCTTTTTGGACAGCAATGGCTTCCTCCGTGGTGTCCTCCCATGTACTCCATTCTTGTTTAATGTTTTCCTTATTGTAGATGTATCAACAAAAATGTTAGCATGTGCCAGAGATTTCTGTAGGTCTTTAGCTGACACTCTGGGATTCTTCTTTACCTCATGCAGCATTCTGCGCTGTGCTTTTGCAGTCATTTTTACAGGACGACCACGCCTAGGGAGAGTAGCAACAGTGCTAAACGTTCTCCATTTGTAGACAGTCTGTCTTACCATGGACACATGAACATCAAGGCTTTTGGAGATACTTTTGTAACCCTTTCCAGCTTCATGCAAGTCAACAATTCTTGATCGTAGGTCTTCTGAGAGCTCTTTTCTGCGAGGCATGGTTCACATCAGACAGTGCTTCTTGAAACCAGTAAACCCAAAACAGGTGTGTGTTTTTTTTAAGGGCAGGACTGCTGTCAGCAACACATCCAATATCATCACACTGATTGGAGTCAAGGTTGGCTCACTCCTGGTTTCAATTAGCTCTGGGAGAAGTCATTAAGCTAGGGCCTCACATACTTTTTCCTCCCTGCACTGTGAATGTTTACATGTTATGTGCAATTAAACCATGGCAACATCTAATGTTTGTGTAGTATTATGTTCAGCAGACGGTGTTCTTCTATTGTTGTGACTTAGATGACGTTCAGTGCACATTTTATGCCCAACTCATGCAAAACTCCACGTAATCCCAAGGGGTTCACATATTTTTCTTGCAACTGTACTGTTTCAGCTCAGCCCAGTGGTCAATGTAACAGGGGGTTAAGATCAATATTAGTCCTGGGGGGGGGGGGGCAAGATCCTCTTCAAGGTTCTATATTAAATGTGTCATAGTTCTGCCCAACTGCTGTGCCTGCTAGCAAGGTCTCAGTCTCCTTTTGTTGAATTTGTTATTGCACATATTGCACAGTATGAAAAATGCAGCTGGAGGAGTAAGATGTTCGTTCATGGCTTTATAATGGCACAGGCATAGATTTTGGCAGAGAGCTCCATGCACATGGTACCTGTATTACAAATGAACTTGCATCCACTGCTGCAATTTTCACTCTTTTCATGTTACAAAAATGACAGCAGATGGAGCTGATAGGGCTTTGGCTGGATGCACAGTGGCTCTGGCATTATCTTGGCAGGTGGAGCTGTGAACTGGCATCTTTGATTCATATAGGTAACCAGTGGATGAATCAGCCCACAAACATGTATTCATGTCTGAAATATCAGTTTTTACTGGCCTGACTCTTTTATGGAAAAACAAATTATGGATGAATAAAAATGTCACATAGTGAGCAAACATGCAAACCGGTTTAACCACTGGTAAAACTCATATTTACAGAAAGGATTTACTCCCCTACATGTTGCTGCTGCAAAATATGGGAAGCTTGAAGTTGCCAAACTGCTGTTACAGAAAAGTGCATCTCCAGATGCTGCAGGAAAGGTGGGTACAGACCTATGTCATCACTGACTTCATCCTCTAAAAATAGCTGTTACCAAGCTCAAACAGCAGGTGGCAGTATTATGTCTAAGATTTCCACCAGTGCTCTTATGACACTTGTGCTAACCATACACTAGCCGAAAAATCGCTCAAACCTGTTTCCGAATAGCAAACACTCGGTCGTAAGAGCAGATAATAGTGGCATCATGTAATGACCGAATTTCAAACGATAAATTGTTCAATGTACATACATGAATCACTTTTTTGTTTGCTTTGTCACATATGTGCAGTACGAACTGTTAGATTTTTTAATGTGCAAATAACACACTAAGCTTTATTTATTTATTTCAGGTACTTATATAGCGCCGTCAATTTACGCAGTGCTTTACATATATATTGTACATTCACATCAGTCCCTAACCCACAAAGGGCGTACAGTCTAAGGTCCCTAACTCACATTCATACATACACATACTACAGACAATTTAGACAGGAGCCAATTAACCTACCAGCATGTCTTTGGAATGTAGGAGGAAACCGGAGTACCCGGAGGAAACTCACGCAGGCACAGGGAGAACATGCAAACTCTAAGCAGGTGGTGCCGTGGCTGGGATTCGAACCAACGACCCTAGTACTGCCAGGCGGAAGTGCTAACCATTTAGCCACTGTGCTGCCCCACTTTCAATTTATTGTTCGTTCGGAAAAAGTTTTCCAATCTGCTCCTCTGATTTTTATGTTCCGAAAAGTCAAAAACGATTTTCTTTTTGTGCATCAACTGGACAAAAAAAGAACGAACAGCCCAAATGACAGATTTTTGGATACATTTTCATCTAGTGTATGGGAATCATTAAGCTGTCCCTTCACAAAAAGATGACATCTTTTCAAGGAAAGAGTTTGTATCCCTCAAAAATCAGTTGCACAAAATATCAGTAAGATTAATTAACAATACAGTAGTTTCCTTTGGAAAATAAATGTACGGAAAATAACCAAATGGATATTTTGTTTGTGTTGAGCAATCATTTCTTATTGAAAGGGTGTTTGAAATGATCAAATGTGTGATTGATTAATCACTTATTATCATGGGCGGGATTAAATCCAAGCAGACTAAAGATTCATTCAGCAAATGAAGAGTTGAAGAATGTATGTAAACCCTCCTCATATACTTGTCCTTTCCCTTTTCTTTCTGCCAGTGTAGTATTTAAGTAAAGTCTGCCCATGTTGTGCCCTAGTGCAGAGGTTCAGCAGATGGAGATCTACCATTTGTTTCTTTATCTTAAAGGGATTATATTGCTAGCAAAGCCATGACATGGATTTTAGGAACACCATGGTTTAGTAAGAGAAACAGCACAGCCGTAGCTGGATACTTTAAGGGCTCATGTACACTGCAGCTGATAAACTCACGTTTAGGAGCTTTTCAGCGTTTTTTTTTCAGCAGCCCCTGAACTCACCCTAATGTTTTCCTATGTGTCCATGTACACATCTTTGTTTACAGTCATTTCCAGGCATTTGAGTTTACAGTTGTTTTTTTTTTTAATGCAGAAAACCTGCGTTCAGTAGTCGATTTTATCACATTTTGGAAAATCACATTTATAAGCGTTTGCAGTCGAAATTTTTTTTTAAACTCTTCCAGTTCCCGATGTTGACCAGAGCCTTTTTTCATCATGAAAATTGCATGCAAAGCATTTTCAAGGTACTCAAATGGACAAAACACTGAACACAGAATGTTCCTACCAAGCTTGTCACACATTGTAATGACCAACTCACACCTCAGACCTCTCCCACCCTTGGAAACAAAAGATATGTTAATGACCATTCACACCTCAAATTCCTCATGAAGACCCCCTGCCAGGTGGCCTTAATGACCACCAGACACTTTTTCCACCCTTGGAAACAAATAAATGAGCAACTCACACCTAAGATTATCTCAACACATACTGCTGTCTCTGCTTCTACTCTCTGTATTTCTCTGAAACAGTCTGAAATGGTTAATAATTTACCACTTTTCAGTGCATTCTGGGCATTTTGGAGGTTCTCCTGTGGTTATCTTTAAAAAACGCTTCTAAACGCAAACGTGCATAAACGCATTATGCAAATGCGGCTAAACGGACATTTTTTAACCTATGTTTTCCAGCAGTCAGTTTCCATTGTTCAGAAGTGTCCTGTGTACATGGGGCCTAACTCTTCTTGGCAGAGGTACACATATATGTGGCCTCTCTGTGGGCGGCCTTTATCGCTGAGAGGCCACATATATGCGGCCCTATGTAAACACTTTTCTGTGCTGAGAGCTTGCTCCCTGCATGCTCCCAACACAGTTACTGGCAGAGACCTGAAAGCTCCCAATGCATACTTGCAATCCGGAGCTTTCTGATAATATGACCACAGTGACAGCCAATCACAGCAGTCACATAACCCAAATGGCTTCTACAGCAGGAAGGGGTTAAGTCTCTGTTTGTTTGAGACGTTAGACACAGGAATATGAAAAGTGATAAGTGACTGTAATAAGTTATCCCTGTGTATGAATGTTTACACTAGTTTGAGCTACTGAAGTCTGTGAACAACATTTTTTTTTTAACAGAAAGGCTCACACCCTGTAAATAAATGGAAATGTGCCTAAAGAAGCAAATCTGTGCTTTGCAAAATTAGAGCGAATCAACAGGTTTCCTAAAGGCAGTTTTTTTAAAAATGTTGTATAGACTGTAGAGCAGCGGTTCTCAACCTGGGGGTCGCGACCCCTTTGGGGGGTCGAACGACGCTTCCACAGGGGTCGCCTAAGACCATCGGAAAACACATATTTCCGATGGTCTTAGGAACCGAGACACCGCTCCTCGCCGCCACCCCCCGCCGTCTCCAGGTGTGGGCGGGATGACATGCCGCCCCTGTCATCTGGACACACCTCGAGATCAATCCTCGCCTGTGATTGGCCGCCGACACTGTAGCTCAGGAGAGGCACACAGGCGGCCAATCACCGGCAAGGAGGTGGAGCTTGGAGAGGAGGAGCCCGAGCGGCACCGCGAAGATCGAGCGAGTGAAGAGGAGGAGAGCGGCCGGAGAAGGAAGACATCTGACAGGTAAGTGTCGGTACCATGGGAGAGGGAGGGAGCGAGCGAGCCCAGGCTGGAGCAGGGGTCTGCAAGGTAAGTATCATTGGTGTCAGTGGGAATAGTGCCCCATCATTGGTGTCACTAATACCAATGATGGGGCACTATTCCTCCCACTGACACCAATGATGGGGCACTATTCTCCCACTGACACCAACGATGGGGCACTATTCCTCCCCCAAATGACACCAACAATGGGGCACTATTCCTCCCCCACTGACACCAAGGATGGGGCACGATTCCTCCCCCACTGACACCAACGATGGGGCACAATTCCTCCCCCCACTGACACCAAGGATGGGGCACTATTCCTCCCCCCACTGACACCAAGGATGGGGCACTATTCCTCCCCCCACTGACACCAAGGATGGGCACTATTCCTCCCCCCACTGACACCAAGGATGGGGCACTATTCCTCCCCCCACTGACACCAAGGATGGGGCACTATTCCTCCCCCCACTGACACCAAGGATGGGGCACTATTCCTCCTCCCACTGACACCAAGGATGGGGCACTATTCCTCCCCCCTCATTTGCTGACACCTATGATGGGGCACTATTCCCCCCCACTGACACCTATGATGGGGCACTATTCCCCCCACTGACACCAATGATGGGGCACTATTCCCCCCACTGACACCTATGATGGGGCACTATTCCTCCCCCCACTGACACCAATGATGGGGCACTATTCCTCCCACTGACAGCAATGATGGGGCACTTTTCCTCCCACTGATTACCAATGATGGGGCACTATTCCTCCCACTGATACCAAGGATGAGGCACTATTCCTCCCACTGACACCGATGATGGGGCACTATTCCTCCCACTGACACCGATGATGGGGCACTATTCCTCCCACTGATACCGATGAAGGGGCACTATTCCTCCCACTGATACGATGATGGGGCACTATTCCTCCCACTGACACCGGGTATGATGGGGCACTATTCCTCCCACTGATACCGATGACGGGGCACTATTCCTCACACTGATACCGATGACGAGGCACTATTCCTCACCACTGACACCGATGACGAGGCACTATTCCTCCCACTGACACCAATGACGAGGCACTATTCCTCCCACTGACACCAATGACAGGGGGCACTATTCCTCCCACTGGTACCAATGACGGGGCCACTATTCCCTCCACATGGTACCAATGACGGGCACTATTCCTCCCACTGATACCAATGACGGGGCACTATTCCTCCCACTGATACCAATGACGGGGGCACTATTCCTCCTCCCACCAACTGATACCAATGACGGGGCACTATTCCTCCCCACTGACACCAATGACGGGGCACTATTCCTCCCACTGATACCAATGATGGGGCACTATTCCTCCCACTGACACCAATGACGGGGCACTATTCCTCCCACTGATACCAATGATGGGCACTATTCCTCCCACTGATACAATGATGGGGCACTATTCCTCCCACTGACACCAATGATGGGGCACTATTCCTCCCCCCACTGACACCAATGATGGGGCACTATTCCTCCTCCCACTGACACCTATGATGGGGCACTATTCCTCCTCCACTGACACCTATGATGGGGCACTATTCCTCCCACTGATACCGATGATGGGACACTAATTCCTCCCACTGATACCGATGAATGAGGCACTATTCCTCCCACTGACACCGATGATGGGGCACTATTCCTCCCACTGACACCGATGATGGGGCACTATTCCTCCCACTGACACCGATGATGGGGCACTATTCCTCCCACTGACACCAATGATGGGGCACTATTCCTCCCACTGACACCAATGACGGGGCACGATTCCTCCCACTGACACCAATGAAGGGGGCACTATTCCTCCCACTGACACCAATGACGGGGCACTATTCCTCCCACTGATACCAATGATGGGGCACTATTCCTCCCAATGACACCAATGACGTGGCACTATTCCTCCTACTGCAAAATTACAGTTATGAAGTAGCATCGAAAATAATTTTATGGTTGGGGGTCACCACAACATGAGGAACTGTATTAAGGGTCGCGGCGCTAGAAAGGTTGAGAACCACTGCTGTAGAGGGATTAGAACACCGGTTTTTTATTGCTGTCCATACCCCTGTGAAGGAGGTTCACCCTTTCTATTTCTCATGTTTGCAGTTATTACCAAAAATGAAAGAAAACCCTAAATTTTGGGTTGTCCCCAAAACAGTAATAAAGGGTAAAACTTCTAATGGGGGCATTAGTTTTGATGACCCTGGAGAAAACCAGGGATTCCTTCACTTTGGAGGGATTTCATCTTACTTCCTGATGTGGCTATAAGAGAAGAAGTGAAGGGAAATATCCCCAATGAGACATAGATGGCATAAAAACTGACAGAGATTATAACCCTTCTCTACAAAAAGAAAAAAATGTGTTGCTTTTAGATACACTTTAAAGTGGTTCTAAAGCCTCAAGTTTTTTTTTACCTTAATGCATTTTATGCATTAGGTAAAAAACCTTCTGTCACAGACTTGCACCCTCACCCCTCTTATACTTATCTGAGCCCCATCGTGATCCAGCGCAGTGCATGAGAGCTGAGGCTCTCCTTGCTTTGTCCCTCCTCACTGGGCAGCTCCTTTCAGTCAACTCTGGTGACTCTCAATGGAAGCAATTGGGAGCAAGCCTTCACGAGTGCCCCCATGGAAATCGGCTTTCTAGTGGGGGCACCAGCAAGAGAGGGGGAGCCAGGAGTACCAGTGGGGGGACCCGAGAAGACAAGGATAAGAGCAGGTAAGTATAGACACTTTTTTAAAAGAAAAATTATTTTACAACCCACTTTAACTCAACCATCCCCAGTAACACATACGTTATGTACCTTAACTTTTACTCCCATCAGCTAATTGGAGCTGCGGGGGTAGGAAAGGAAGCCAAGTATATGCATCTGAGGAGATCTGCATTAAAGTGTACTTGTTGATTTGTCCTGCTTGGTCAAAACATTGATTCACATTAAGGGCTAGTTCACATTAAATGCAGTCCAGTGTGTTTTTTTATTCTGCATCAAAAATGCATGCACAGTGTTTTCCATGTATTCCAATGGCTCTAGTTCACACTAGTGCAGTCAATTCCAGTCAGTTTCCAGTACAGAAAAAAAAGTAGAACATGCTGCATTTATTCTGCATAGAACCATACTGGAATATAGCAAACTGCATCAAAATGGCACCAGAATGGTGTGTGGTGTGAACTGTAAGCAAAAAAATGTATCTGGAATGCATTGGAGTGCATTTTTGTGGTGTGAACTGGCCCTAAGGGTTTGTTCACACCATGGTGCACGCGTTTTCTGCAAGGGCACAACAAAATCACATCATATGCAATATGTATAAAACTCATTGAAGCGCACATGAAAACTGATGTAAACTGATGTCTCTGCAAGTGAAATCTGTGCGTCAGTTTCCATCAGTTTTTCTACATGAATGGTGTGAATGAGGCCTAAAGCTCCATCTCCTTGCTCAGAAAATAAGTGCAACATATCACCATGCAGTATTTCCTATTCTACTGAATATACACTTCTTTATTTTGTATAAGTGTTGGGTCCTGTGCAGGCGCAGACATTTTTGCTCTCATTGAAAGTAGTGTGAGTGACAATAATAAAACAAATTAGGGTGAAGAAGGCAGGTTACATGCTTTAGAGCGGATTCAAAAACATGTAAAAAGTGTTCATGTTACAAGCCATCTATAGTTTCTTACCCAGTAAATAGTGTGACAGTGCATCATTTCTAGTTTTACTCTGTTATTGTAACTAACAAGCAGACATGGCTGCTAAGATCCATCACAGAACTTATATTATGTCACAGCATTAGAGATAACAGTTACAATGTTATAACAATGGTTGTTTCTGCATGTGTTTTTAGACCGGTCTAACACCACTGCATGTTGCGGCACACTATGATAACCAGAAAGTGGCATTGCTATTGTTGGATAAAGGAGCATCCCCTCATGGAGCTGCAAAGGTAAATAACTCAAAATGTCATAATGTTTATATGCAATAAAATCATGTTCCACCATCTAATGATCCTAGTAATGTAGAATGAATGGTACAGGATTAACTCCTTGTGTTTTATGTTAAATAAATACTACAGCAAGATGTACAGCATATACACTCCCCGGCCACTTTACTAGGTACACCTTGCTAGTACCGGGTTGGACCCCCTTTTTCCTTCAGAAGTGCCTTAATTCTTCCTGACATAGATTCAACAAGGTGATGGAAACATTCCTCAGAGATTTGGTCCATATTGACATGAGTTACTGTTGCCTTTCTATTTTCTTGAACCAATCTTCCCATTCTCCTCTGACCTCTGACATCAACAAGGCATTTCCGTTCACACAACTGCAGCTTGATGGATATTTTCTCTTTTTTGACCATTCTCTGTAAACCGTAGAGTTGGTTGTACATGAAAATCCTATCAGATCAGCAGTTTTTGAAATACTCAGACCAACCTGTCTGGCACCAACAACCATGCTACATTCAAAGTCATTAAATCCCCTTTCTTCCCCCATTCTGATGCTCGGTTTTAACTTCGGCAAGTCATCTTCACCATGACTAGTTGCCTAAATGCATTGAATTTCTGCTATGTTACTGGATGATTAGCAATCTTTATTAATAAGCAATTGTACAGGTGTACCTAATAAAGTGGCCAGTGAGTATATTTGCATTTTACCATTCCTCATGTATAGACAAAACTGTTCTTGGCATCCATTGAAACAAATGCATCCTGAGGGTTGTGTGTGAGGGTTGTGAAGTCATCATTTTATTTCTATTTGTTCAAATGTTGAACCTATTTAGAAATTGTCAGTGTCTCTGCCTGGTGCATATCTTCACCCATGGCTATACATAAGGTATATATCTGGGGCCACATTCAAAAGGACCTTGCAAACCAGAGGATTGCAGGTACCAGGGTTCATCTATGAGATCACTAATAAATATTGAATCCCATCTTCATGAATATTCCTTCTGTTAGAATGCTTATATATTAAGTTTGGATAACTGAAAGAAAATCTGTGGCTTTCCCATGCAGCTTTATTGGTGGCTCCGCCTGCGACACTCAATCTTACATTTGCTCCCCATGGTCCTACTCACCTGAAGAGAAGTAAGAGAAATACCAGTACTTCCAGGCATTGGAAGCCTCTTATTTACTTCCACTCCTTCCACATGACAATACTGGTCTGTGCTAATTGCCTCCACAGGCACTCAGTGTTGTCATGTGGGGTGGCTAAGGCGTTCCCAACCATGTGTAAGCCTCAGGTCAATGACAACATGCATCATTTCAGTGAATATTAGTTTGTTAGCCAGATGACCTATATATACACAGGTTCAGGGACTAGCCAAGATTCGAACCATGTATGGGCATGCTAAATGTACCCAAGTTGATTGATCGATCAATTTGGGTACAACCAGCCTGTTGGATTTTACATGTGATTATTGCTAACGGCTACTATATCCGATAGATGTAATCAATGTGTTCACAATGGTTCAGCAGAAGGGTTTCCCCCATCAACACTGACTATGTTGACTGTGTGCAAGCCGCAGGTTGTAGGAAAGAAAAAAGTCCCATCTATAGCCAGCTTACATAATTATATTTTTCTCTGTGCTGGTACCTTACATTGGAGGCTTGCCCATTTGGAATCCTGAGACATTTAATTGGTTCTTTGTTAGCAGATGGAATGGGTCATTATGATAAGAGTCTCTACGGATTTTTCATTGTCAGTTATACTGTGACTGATACAATTGAGTTACTATCAATGATAATTTTTTTATTTGCAATAACATAATTTTCAAGGAGGAGCAGGGCCCTCCTATCCCTCTTGTATTGAGCTGTATTGTCTCCCTTTATATTGTAAAGCGCTGAGCAAACTGTTGACGCTATATAAATCCTGTATAATGATATAATTTTTAGGACAAGCTTTCAGGGTATGTCCCCTTCCTCAAGGTCCAAGCAATACATTCTTGGACCTTGAAGAAGGGGACATACCCCAAAAGCTTGCCCTGACAATTGTGTGTAGTGCAAATAAAAAAGTTTCAAAGACTGTACTCAATTGTTTCTGTCGCCAATGCACTAATACAACTACAATCACCTCAAGCAAGTGTGACTGATGAATTTGGAATGTATCTGGCATCAGGCATTCTTAAAATGTGGTCTGTTAGTTGGAGCATGCTAATCTGATACCCTCTGAGGTGGAGAGTCCACTCTGACCTTTAAATGGAAGATACAAGTGGATAGTGTATTTAACAAGGTTTTGTCTGTGAATTTGTGTAAGTGTGTGTATATATATACATACTACTCATACACACACATATAGTGCTGATTACATAAGAGACAACCAGGACTCTATTACAGCGCACAGCAATCAGTTGATTTTGGATGTCTACTGTGCTTTGAATTAATAAGGGTAATGCAATTTTCATGTTTTGATCAAACAGCTACTAAAGTTAGCACTTAAGGCCCCTGCTGCTTAACAATTATACTGAGTGATGTGATTTATGTTCAGTTTTGTGAATGCAGACATTGGTAACCATTTTGCAACTGCTTTCTCTATCTCTTGTCATTCAAGTCTTTAAAATCCAGATCTGAGGCAACTTTTAAGGTCACCCAGTCTACAAAATCCCTTCTCTGTTTACACCCTTTGATACAATTGCTCCTTTGATTCAAAAGTGTTTTTGAACCGTGAAATGAATTTAGAATGTCCAAAGGAATTAAATGCAAAATTAAGAAAACAGACTCATGTTACCTAGTTTTCTTAGGTAGCATTGAACCTAAGATCCCAATGCTGCAAATGGAGAGTACTGAGTACTTTTGTTGTAGGTTTACAGTTCACATACAGCAATCTAGCACAGGTAGCTTATTAAAGGATTAACATTATATATAAAGTTTTTTGGATTTTCTATCAGCAGGTACTTGGCAGAATGATTGATAAACTATATATGTTTGCTTACATGCTCAATAATTATCCTTGTATGTATGTCATTCTTTTAGAATGGGTACACACCTCTACACATTGCTGCAAAGAAAAACCAGATGGAAATAGCCACCACGTTGCTGGAGTATGGGGCAGATGCCAATGCAATGACCAAGCAAGGAATTGCTCCCATTCATCTTGCTGCCCAAGAAGGCCATGTGGACATGGTGTCTTTGCTGCTCACAAGAAATTCTAATGTCAATGTTAGCAACAAGGTACCATCTATACTCTTCAAATTTTGTTGGTAATGTAGCATTTGCATGTGAAGCCAATTTCAACTCCATCCACTGTAAATTGCTTGCTGTTGCCAGGTGCACCAGGTCACCACCATATTGTATGGGCTCCCTTAAGACAAATAAGGGAGAATCTGGTAGTTAGTAAGAACACTGTAAAAAAAAATAAAGTATGGATTCAGTTGTATGAAGCTCCCAGCTCACAAAACATGGTTCCTGTTGACAGTCTGCACATAAATGGAAGGTGCACTGGCTAGCCAGGGAAAGTACAGCAGCAGCTCAGTCAGTAAACCTAGCCGAAGAGATGAAGTGACAACAAGCAAAGTAACGCATGCCGTAGGTTATTCGATTTTCTTTCCTTCCATCATGGGTGGAAGGAAAGAAATTGCTCGATTCCTCCATGAACACAGTCTGTGTTGATGGGGGAATGCCTCCTGCAGTGCCATTGTTTCTGCATGCTTGAGTGGCACAGGGAGCTTTCCTGGGCAGGAGAATACAATGATTACTGCTAGCAGCTATAGCCATGGGCAATAATCACATGCTAAAAATCCAACTTGCTGATTTTACCCAAGTTGATAGATGGATCGGCTTGGGTACAATCAGCCTGCCCATAGATAGACTGAATCTCCCTGCTGAACTGGTCGAGATCTGGTCCATCTGTAGCCAACTTAAAGCAGTAGTAAATACTGCTTGCTCACTTACCTACAGGTTAGTTCGTAATAAAACTTACCTATACATACAAGGAATATCTCCTATACATGCATAGAAACATGGAAAGGTGACGGAAGAAAAAGGCTGAGTGGTTCATCGAGTCTGCCCTTTTTTTTGTGTGTGTGTGCTTTTTTTTTTGGAGGGGGGGGGGTGTTTTTGTTTTTTTTTTTTTTTGTTTTTTTGGGGTGGTGGGTTGTTAACTTTTTGTCTGAGTATAGATCTATGCTTGTCTCAAGCATGTTTGAAGCTATTTACTGGTGACTGGCTCACTACCTCTGCTGGAAGTTTATTCTAAGCATTAACATCAGTAAAAAAGTACTTTCTAAGATTAGTTTTGAACTTTCCTCCAGTTAGTTTGACATCATGTCCCCGTGTTCTTGATTTGCAGTTGATAGTGGAATCACATTGCTTCATTGTCTGTTCAGTATCAAATTTGGAAAATAAAAAAAAGGTTGGAAGGCAGAGTTTTATTATGTATAAATTAGAAAATAATGATCTTTTTTATTCTTTAGAACTGCATTTCAGGAAGTTGTATTTGCATGTATCAGTTACTTCCCCCAGGCACTTGCAGTCTATTTTATGTTACCAGGTGTCCAAGTTTAGTTAAACACTTATAATTTTATCAGTATGTCTTTGAGCTATGGTTAAGAAAGCCATGGGGAGGGAGAGAGAACATACAGACCCCACACAGATAGCACCACGTTTGGACTCAGAATCAAGGCTCCCTATCATTTTGAGATAGCAATGCTAGAAACTGTGCTCTTGGCTTCCTAAAATGCCTCCTATCCCTATATACGCAGCTGTGACAGCCAAAGTGAATAACAGAACATTTAGCTGAGTAAATCCGTGGCCCAGTCATTGCATCAAGCAGGGACGTCTACTTTGTATTCATCTTTCGACCCTGAAGCAAAACTCTTGCACTGTTGTTGGCAAAGAAATGTTACAAAAAAAGAACATACATCAGATATTCTAAAAGTGGAACTCCACTCTCTCAATCAACATTGACTATTTTTTAATCCTTATGCTGCTAGCATTATTAAATAGATGGGAAAGTATCATATTTACTTGTTTTACACTTTTTGTTTTACATTTCTTCACTTACTTCCTGGTTTCCATGCCTAGGCAAATGATGCTATACATCCCAGGAGTTTTCAAGAGGGGATGGTGGGTTCTCAGCTCAGCCAATGCATCAGCTAAGGGCAGATGGATTCCAGGAAGTAAATGCTACATGAATCATCTGCACTTACTCAAGATGGCCACTGCCAGAAATGCTAGGGGGTGTTTTTTCAAATTAATTCTCAGTAAAATAAAGCATGGAGTCATGAATGGATGGATGAGTTTGATTTGAATATTAACAATGAATTAAATGGCATTTTTGCTTTGTAGTGCTCAGATGCAGTGCAGTTTCACTTGAAACCTTTTTACAGACAATATATATATACGGTATTTATGTGAGAAGAAATTTCCCTAAAGGGGGCACGGGGTAAAACCCTGAGAGAGGAGCTAACCAAACCTCCCAAACAGAAGTCTCTTACATTGTTTATTGCTACAGCAAATCCCTAAATAATACACATGTGAACGGTCTTTTCTTCCAGAGGATTTGTAATTCTGTTCTGACATTTTTGCAGTGCATACACCTCTGCCATACAGCACAGCCAGGAGGGTGGCACTACATTGATGTTGGAGTTGAAAAATACAGTGGTGTCCCTGCCCTAGCCACAGCCTGCTAATTGGACAATACAGTATTGGAGCAGTAGCTCACTGGTAACTTATCGGTTGTGCCTACTCTGCTCTGTGTGTTCAGCAGAGACACCTAATGTTATCCCTTCTCACAATGTGAGTGGAAAGGGTTACATGAGGCTAATATTACAATTTTAGTACTTATGCTAGCTGCATGCAAAAAAACATAACTGCCCGATACAACTGCATTAAATAGTGGTTTCATATCTCTTTGGAGTTAATTATCATTTTTACTGGGGGTTGTGAGCACAGACGCATAATATTAGTGGTGGTGGCTATATGGTTTATCAATCAGCTCCCTTCTTGATGAAACGAAAACAGTGATTTTATCATATTTGATGTACTTTTTAAATACATATTGTGTACTGATATTATGTTATTTTGTGAATTGTAGAGCGGCCTCACACCTCTTCACTTGGCAGCACAAGAGGACAGAGTGGGAGTAGCCCAGGTTCTCACCAATAATGGAGCAGGCAATGACTGTACAACAAAGGTAATCTATCTTCTTTTACCTGTTATAGACATTACTATAACATCTTATACTATAAAACATGGTAAATTAGGTTCAAAATATTTTCATGGACAAAGTCAGACAGACGTTGTATAGACTCATTTGGGCTTATACAGTAAGTCAGTTTGTTAGGGCCTTAGAAATATCTGGTCTATAAAGAATCTGGTAAAAGACATTTTGGTAAACCATGATGCTTGCATACATCTCTTTTGATCTTTAAGGTCCATCCCATTTGGTGAGTGAGCCTTTCTGAAGGTAGTGGTAGATAAGTTGGATCACATTTCATGTGGATCTCAAAACACATATGGTGCTTTGGATAACTTAATATTAAGATTTAAGGAATATGCCCCTCACATAGCATAGATAGTTTTTTTAGTAATTTCCAGAGTTGGCCTTTAAAGGATAAGTTCACCTTTGGAACATGTTACCCGTTACATGTTTTTAGGGTGGAACATGTAACATGTTCCCATAGCCGCAGCCACGCCCCTCCCTCTGACAGATAGTACAAGGAAAAGTTTATCCGTACTATCTGCCAGATTTGAAAACAGCGCACCGCCCACACGACCACATCACTCATTCACAGTGTTCTGTGAATGAGTGCCTACAAGTCCCAACAGCCTTAGTGGCTGTGGAGTGATGTGGTAGTTCATTGAAGCTTCCTTTCAGTATATGTTCTTGGGCCTACATCCTGTATGGCAAGCAGATATTCTGACAGGTCTGCAGGAGACCTGCATGGCATCAGTGATCTACGGAGCGCTGGTGCAATGCTTTGTAGGCTCCTTTGGACAAAAATAATAAATGCACATTTTTGTACCTGCAAAAAAATGTGCATTTAATATTTTTGTCCAAAAAGTGAACTTAACCTTTAAATTATAAAGGTCAGATGCACATTTTCCCCTTTATCTAGGAAAAAAAATCTAGATTAGACTATCCAATTATTTGGAAAGGGTCTGTCTTCCATCATTCTAACTCATTTCCCATTAATACTAACAATTTGGGAAGGACATAAGCCTAAAATAAGTAGAGAGAGGTTAAGCAGGCGATGTCATTGTGCTGGTTCATGGTATCTTCCCTAAATGTAGGGATGAGCCCAGGGTATGCTGCTAGTAGAGCTCAAGGGTGACAGAGTTTTTGATGGTGGGACTTAAAATAGATGACAGTCTTTCTAAACATGCATGCTGTTTATAATAGTGTTTTAGTACACTTATGTAATCTAAGCACAAGTATAGGTTTTCAATTTTTTTTTCTTTTATAAAGCAGTATTTCACTATTGGATATTTTATTTTAAAATCCTTCCCACATTGAGAGAATTCATGGAGATAAGGTTGAATTGATGGAAAAGAGATCATTTAGCCCTGGTTCACACTGATGTGAATCTGATGCAGTTCTAATGCATTCCAAAATGTATAGATTTGCATGTCAAGGGAGATAACATAGCTTTCTATGAAGGTCTTTCACACCTTCAAAACGCAATGCAATTTCCAAAAGGCTCCTGTGTGTGTTTGGTATGATACAGTGCATTTTTTGAGCCCCATAAACTTGAATGGAAACAGCAGTGAAAATGCGTAGGTGATCAAATGCAATGCCATTTCAGTGCAAGATGCACCTATTTCTAATGTCACAAAATTAGCCAGAACAGAAATTGCAGCTGTGTAAAATTGCATCAGAATTGCACAACTGCTCCTGAAATTACACTTGAAATCGTACAGAGATCGCACCAGATCAGTGTGAACCAGAGATAATGAAAAAATTAGGTATTCCACAGAGATTTTTTCCTATTAGATATATGGAGATAATGATGAAAAAGTGCCTCTGACCTTTATCAATTGTGGTCCATCCAGGGGCGGACTGACCATTTGGAAACTCGGGCACTGCCTGAGGGCCCGGGGTCAGTAGGGGGCCCCATGAGATGCCCCTGGTACCTTTTTCATAGGCTTTTTTGAGTTTGGGCAAGGACACAGGGGCCCCATGATCCCCTATTGCCTGGGGGACCCCATGAGTTGTCAGTCCGCCCCTGGGTCCACCCTACCTGGTGGGTGAACTTTTTTAAAGG